GGAAAGAGCTTATAAGTGTAAGTCCTTGTAGTTAGTTCAGGTAGAAACCTAATACACACTATATCAGAAACAGCTAAAATCCCTTCACCTGCTGTTGAGAAGGTCAGGGTCTAAAAGTGTCACATTTGCATAGGCAATCTCAGGAGGAATGGCTGCAGCAATAGCAGTGACCCCTGGAGGCCGAGCAGTGATTCCCAGCGGTGGACTAGCAGCAACTGTAGCGAGAGCCTCTCTACCCAACACCTGCCACTGTTGGCTGGCATAGGTGGTAGAGTCCTCAGATATCAGAATCCCTTCCCAACTGACTGGGGTCGGTGGTTGCTCTTCGGGGTTGGTTTGTCAGTACTGTAGTCTATTAACTGTTTAAGAGTTCAGTTCAGATTTAATAGGTAAGGCTTTCTTTCAGATTATGTATTTGTTCCGTTTTCCCCTGAATTAAACCCTGTTTTTATTTAATGTTGCTTGTGAGTGGAGAAGTTCCTTCACATCAGAACATCCAGTTAAAACTTATTTTCCCTGGTTTCTGGGCAGGGGCTCAAGCCAAATTTAGAAAGTTGGTGTTAAACCCCTAAATTTGAACCTGGCCCTTGTTACTGCTCTCAAGTGCCTGGCTGAAGGCTTACACTAACATGATGCTTTGACACACTTATAAACAATAAATTCTCAAGAAATACTTGTTTAAATTAAAATGCAAATAACTACTGCAATTATTGAGCAACTCCACAAACATTATAAATGGGCACCAAGCAAAAGCCAAGAAATGTTGGTGTGAGAACGGAGGTTGCATGACACATGGTACATCTGAGTTTCACCATGTATAAATCTGACTAGTTTACTTCCAGTGTGTCAAATAAGGTTTTTATTTGTTTTTTATTTTGTGCAACCTTTGGTCTGATTGTAAAGCAGCAGCTCATATGGTGAGCCGTACAGTTCTTGAAAAGGTAAAAAGCACACCTTTTTCTTGAATAACATGGAGTAAGTGTTTGAAATGAACTTTTCTTCCTTGTTGCCTTGCTTCTCATCTCTGAGGCACATTTCAGTGCTGCCAAATCCACAGGTTTACAAGCATGAGACACACTACAAAAAAGCTGGTTTGTTTGTCTGCCTGCTACCTTTTGAAGTCTTAGTAAGAAGCCTTTTCTCCCCTGACCCTCATGAAGCTGTGAGAGATCATTTCAGTCTGAAAAATCCAATCTTAAAAACCACACGTGTAAATGCAGGACATCCTCTAACCCACTAAGGAGGTTCTACCTAACCTTCATGGATCTGCTCCGGTCACCTTGGGAGAAAGCTAGCTTTTCATCTCATTTGAGGCTTGGTCCCATAAGCCTGGTTTAGTCAACCATTTTCTTATTCACGGAGTCACTGGTCCAGCTCAGAGACAGTGTTGGTTAGCATTTTTCTAATGGTTTTCACAATAGAAAAAAACATTTACAAGGAAACATTCCTTGTGAAAAGGATCTGTTTTTTGTGGCAAATTTTGCTATTCATTATTAAACCAAGTGCTCGAACGACTGTATTTTAATTTGTTAATGCTGCTGTGGTACCCTACAGGGATTTGTAGTTCATTTCCCATTCTCTCTTCTGGGGTGGCAGCAAGAGCAGAAGTGATCATGTGAACATCACAATGCTCAAAAAGGAAAGAGGATGCCGTATCGTGGGGAATGTAGTTAGACCAGGAAGCCGTGTGTGGAGGGGGAAAAGGGAACTTGAGGTATGTGAATTTGGTTCCTACGATAGCATGTATAATTCAAAATAATTTCTCAAATTTCTGCCAAAAATTTAAGTTTTCCAGGGGGATATAAAATAAATATTTTCAGCCATGTCTACTATTGCAAAACCTCAGAAGTGGGTTAAGAAAAAGAAAGTGTGCTGGAGCAGTGGTGCGCAGCCTTTTAGTCCCATGTGTTGGATGAGTGGTGGGGGCCCAACCACAGATCAGATTCCACACGTGGGGTTTGGTCTGTGGACTGGATCCAGTGTGGGGTCAGCATGCAGGTTCAGTCTCCAGATGTGACCCAGAGTGCTGGCCTGCCCCCATGCACCAGATCCAGCTGCATGTCAGCTTGACCTTGCGCTCTAGCCCATGCTCCTGCATGATCTAACACACAGGGCCATATCATCCGGGCCACATTATCTCAGGTGTGCAGCAGCATAGCAGTGTGGCCAGATGCCCAGGGCACAGGGGCAGCAGCAACTTCTGGTTGCCACTGCTGTCTGCCAGCAGTAACTGGACTTTTTTGTGCCCTTACTCCTCACGTCAGAGCCTGGAATAGTTGTCCCAGTTGTTGTGCCCTACTTACGCCACTGTAGTGTTGTTTTGAATTCCACACCCTGCTCCCAACGCTGTTGATATATTTTATATTAAACAGTCCTTAGGTTTAGGACAGGAACCCATAAACTCCCAGGTGGGCACTTCAACCACTACTCTAGATAAATAGGTACCAAACACATAGTTCTGGATTCCACTCCAGGGACCAAGTCCCTAAGAATTTGGCATTGTGGCGCCTAAGTTTTTTATTTTACGTGGCTGTAATTGATTTGCCCAAGGTTAGACAGACCATGCTCTTAACCATAAGACCACATTCCTAGTAAATACAACATTCTTGGCATGTTTTTGTACAAAGTTTCAGTTTATTCTTCCACAATAAAGGATCCAGATTTAGCATCTTCTCTTGTAGAACAATGTTATGTTTTTGTACTAATAACAAAATCACACTATTGCACTCTTTTGCTTTAACTGACAGTTCTCAGTGCTGCGTTGATTATGCCTTTTCCTATATTGTGAGCATCCAAAGTCATTTGTGATAGATATGAAAGGTAAGATGAGTAAATCCTTTGCATTTATGTCTGGTTTGTGTCAATACTCTGTAGTTTCTCAAGGTTTTTAGAGACAGAGACTCCAAATGTACTTATTTATGGGCTAAGCATTCTTGTTCACTAAGTCCAAAAATAACTGAATAATTAAATGTTTCTTAAAATATATCGCTAAATCAAAATTAATTCGTATTTAATATTAGATACATTATATCATATATATTATGTTTTATATAAGCTAATGATATAATATATTCAACTTGGAATGTGTTCTCAATGACCTCAAATTTTATCTAAAACTGAATGTGATAGATAAACTCTTCCTGTGGAAATACACTTCAAGGTTATCAGACGAAATGTGTCAGACTTAGGGAAATATTAGTACTTTGGATAATACCAAGTAAGAAAAACACAGTAAAATGAATGAAACTACATATCATATTTTGAAATACAGTACAAACTATAATCACAAAGCAGTAAACAATAAAGTGGCATCCTATCCTAGTGACATATATTACGGAGATAAATATGTCAGTCTTCTTTACATGAATACATTTTCACGGGTATTGGCAAGACACTCAAAAGGTGTGTGTGTCTGTATTATCTACATATGTGTATCCACAAACATATTGGAAAAGGATTCATTTCCACACAGGAGTGTACAGAAAAATAATCTTATAGCCAGAGCAGTTTCTTGAATACTGCTAATTGAAAGATCCATCAAAGATTTTTGCAAAGTATGAGAGAAAAGAAAGTAACTAGAAACAATTCTGCTTTTACAGGATGTAGAGCTAAAATGTATCCCATTTTTGTAGCATTATGATGAACATAAATTTCTGCTCCAGCTTCACTGTACTAAGAAATAACAAAATATTTATGACCCCTATAACTTAACTAAATTGATTTCATTTCATAGGCAAGGCAACAAAGAGGAAAACAATACATACATTAATAAAAAGTTATCTAAAGGAATAACTTTCATCATCATATTCCAGTTCATCTTCTTCATCATCCTCCAAAAGTCCATATTTAAATTTACGATAGACTGTGCCATCTTGGCCCATATATACAATATCATCATCATCGTCCTCTTCATCTTGATCATCCCGGTCTCGAAACTCAATCACTCGATCCTCCTGATAGCTAGTGTTCTGATAGTGGTTGCTTTTGTAAGAAGGCAAAGTTTTTGTATGATTTGTCAACTTCTCGTACCCACCTTTGTTGGCTGGCTGTGGTTTAGCTCGTGACCTTCTCCAAATGAATGCAATGGCTCCAAAGATGAGGATCAGCAAAATGGATGTAATAACAAACAAAGCAGTTTTCTTTTTATTTTCAGTTGGTAGATTCAAACTGGTCTGTAATACACACTCGTCTGCAAGTTAAAGATAACCAAAAGTTATAAATATATGAAGTATTCAATCATTGACTTATTCTAAGGCAATGCTTATCCATTCTGTCTAGTAGACTATTTAAACCCACTAACATTTTTAGATATGGAGGGATAAATTCATTGTGGGTATAAAGCATTTCGATTAATCTGAAGTGTGATTTATCTCAAATAAACCAGGGACTCTAAGTTTAAAATGATGATTACTGGGGTATTGTACTGGAGCTAAGTGTGAAAGGAGGATATTTCTCTCTCTTAAAGTCATGTCAGTGTGTAAAGAATCTATACTGCTGACATGCATTTGACATATATTATGTATGGAACCCAGTACAGAATCTGCAGCTCACAAATATCCAATCGACCTCAAGTTCATCAAACATCAGTATTGCTTTACACTTCAGTCTTACCTTGTATTTCACTGCAGTCACAGCAGTCCTGGTCTTTTGCCAGGTCAGAACTACCACAGCACTCCACACACTGGCTCTCATCTAGGTAGAGTCTCGTGTTAGCTGGGCAAACAGTGCAATTGTATGGGCCAGGTCCCTTACACTCGATGCAGCTGTCATGACAGTTGTCACATTTCAGTGGGTCTCCCTTGAGATACAGAACAAAAGCAGAACATGTTTCCTTCTTTTTCTATTTCACGATGGAGCTGGCAGTACTGCACTGTTACAATCTAAGGGCTAGATTCTGGTCAGACCTAAGTGTGTGACCTGCATATATCTAAAGCTTTATTGGAAAAAGTTACCACAGTAAAACCTTCAATAATTTTAAAATTGCACGTTCCTTCCTGAAACCTAGTCAATCTATTTCCTTGCTGATTAGCTGATTTATGGCATGCATGCTCCATCCATTGCCTTGGGCTCCTCTGGCTGGTTTGAGAACTGCTGGAGAAAAGGAATATTGTGGAGGTAACATCGAATCACAGAAAATCAGGTTTGAAAGGGACCTCAGGAGGTCATCTAACCCAACCCCCTGCTCAAAGCAGGACCATCCCCAACTAGATCATTCCAGCCAGGGCTTTTTCAAGCCGGGCCTTAAAAACCTCCAAGGATGGAGATTCTACCACCTCTCTGGATAACCTGGTCCAGTGCTTCACCGCCTTTCTAGTGAGAGAGTTTTTCCTAATGTCCATCCCTTGCTGCAACTTGAGACCATTGCTTCTTGTTCTGTCATCTGCCACCACTGAGAACATTCTCGCTCCATCCTCTTTGGAACCATTCTTCAGGTAGTTGAAGGCTGCTACCAAATCCCCTCTCAGTCTCCTCTTCTGCAGACTAAATAAGCCCAGTTCCCTCAGCCTTTCCTCATAAGTCATGCCCAGCCCCCAAACCATTTTTGTTCCACTGGACTCTCCCCAACTTGTCCACATCCTTTTGATAGTGGGGGGATGGGGGCACCCAAAACTGGACACAGTGCTCCAGATGCCACCTCATCAAGTGCAGAATAGAGCAGAATAATTATAGAATAAGATCTGCTGCCAATGCTCCTACTAATGCAGCCCAGTATGCTGTTAGCCTTCTTGGCAACAAGGGCACTCTGCTGACTTATTTATTATCCACTGTAACCCCCAGGTCCTTTTCTGCAGAGCTGCTGCCCAGACAGTCAGCCCCCTGGCTGCATGGGATTCTTCTGTCCTAAGTGCAGAACTTTGAACTTGTCCTTGCTGAACCTCATGAGATTCCTTTTGGCCCACTCCTCCAATTTGTCTAGGTCACTCTGTATCCTAGCCCTACCCTCCAGTGTATCTACTACATACTTGGTTAATCTCTTATCTCTGGGTAACTCACGTGGGCTCAGATTCTAGGAAGTGCTGAACAGTTCATGGCAATTCAAGGTATTACTTAGCACCACAAAAGAGGTACTCAGTGGGTACATCTATACCAGACGTTTACTGTGGAGTTGCCTAATTAGCTCTGAAGTAAAGTGTCACTGTCTACACATGCAGCACTATTAGGCCAGAGTAAACTAATTAACTCCTCTGTAGGATAGCATTGTTTGACACAAGTACTATCCTATGGTGGAGTTATTTACTCCAGTGCAACACATGTGTAGACGGTGACCGGGGCTGGTTGGGGCATGAGGGTGTTACAATGTGGGGCTGCCTGCTGGCTAGCCCCGCACTGTAGCACCCTTGTGCCCAGCCAGCCTCTCTGCAGCACACGGAGCCAGGTTGAAGCAGCCCCAGGCTGACAGGCTGACCCCCCTCACTCCTGCCAATTGGGGCTGCACCGCCCCAGCTCAACATGCTGCAATCCTGGGGACATGCATAAACTGTGCTGGAGTTATTGCGTCCCATTAATATCATGTGTAGACATGCCCAGTTACATGTAGATCAGAGTCTGCCACACAGTGACACTGAAATACACTTACAGCTTCTGGCTGGTGGCTTAGCTAGACAAGTGCCCATGTCTTGGTCACATACAGCTATAGCTGCCTGCTACAGACCTTATGGCTAGTGATACTAGTCTGAATCCCTGCCTCCTGTTCCTGACCCCAACTTGGCCCATAGTCTGCACATGGTGACCATCTATATCTTAGTTCTAGGTCTTCTGACTGGCCTCCTCCTGATGCCATGATTCCCAGGTCTAGTCTGGACCTTTTCTTTCCTGACCTTGCCTGTTCCTGATCCCCTAGGTCATGGGTTTTCAAACTTTTTTAATAAGTGTACCCCTGGAGACCCCCTTTTTAGTAAGTGTACCCCCCAAGGAAGGGGTGGCAAGTGGCCAGACGCAGAGCAGGGGTGTAGCGAGTGGTGGAGCAGCAGCAGCACACTGTCTGTGTAGCTCTGCTCTTGCCCTGCCCTGCCCCTGCTCCTTTGAGGCAGAGGTGCAGGGTGGTGGCACTCCATCCCCGCCTGCCCCTGAGTACTCCCTAGGACCTTTCAAAGTTCCCCCAGGGGTACACGTACCCCTGGTTGACAACCCCTGCCCTAGGTTGTGACCCCAAGGGTTGCTCCCAGACCACCTGTATCTTTGTTGTGCTCCTGACACCTGGGATACCTGGCCTTGGATCAGTCTACATTACGGGGATGCCCCACAGCCACAAATGTTCAGAGCTCCAGCAGTTGCCAACTACAATTTATGTTAATCTTCACTGAAATGGACAAGAATAGCATGTTTGGTTAGCAGTGCCTAAGGTCCCTGTGAGCATATATTTCCAAAGCACTTCTTTTTTTGAATTCTAAGTTCATGGAGTTTTCTCTTTAAATCTGGTTTAGTTCTGAATCAGAATCTAATTTTTAAAATATTTAAAATGTTCTATCAACAAGGAATTCTAAGCGTATATATTTGTAAACATTTTCTAGACTTCAGCATACATAGAATAGGATACAGAGAAGTTGCTTGTGTACAGATAGTACCTCTTGGACTTTGTATTCTCCTGCAAAACATTCAGAGTAGCAGATTCCACCTGCTAGATGGTAACTCCACACACAAGCTGTGCACCTGAGTGCTCCCTCCCCTACAAGGGAACATAAAACAACAGTTTTGTACTGAACATGGAAAATAATCTGTTTCTTTTAAAGAATGTACTAATCTGACCGCACTAATAAGTTTAATCAAGTATTGGAAATGTACATGTCTAATATTAATTGGTTGACCTTCAAAACTGCTTAAGCCAAGAATTAAGAGAGGCTTATGCTCTTAGAATTCTGGTGCACAGAAAATGTTTCCAACATCCAATTTTAAGTTCATGTTCTACTAAAATATTTGTGACTATTGGGGAAGAGGTGCTGGCTGTTAGGATCCTATTAGTGATGAAGATGTTTTGCCATTCAGCATAGTTGCTTCAACCATGTGTACATCACAAAAGTTAAGAAACAAGGTGTGAATCAATTCTAATAAATGAAAGTATGTTAAACCAAGCGTGGAAGCCTGATCCTTTTCTAAGCTACACTGATCTAAGCCTTCCATGTATGTACTGCACGCATTTCCAGGCATGTGTCACCTCTTATTTAAGCTGAGTCAAAAGGCTTACAGCCATAACTTTGTTATGTAGAAGGATCAGCCACTAGATGCACTTGTATCCACCCGCTGTCTTTCTCTCCGTACTCTCAGTAGAAAATCTGGCCAGTACAGTAGTATTAATAGCAAAATAAATACAAAATAATTTTGGAAGACAGATTGTGGACTACAACAATAATCTTTTTTGTTCCAAATCCGAGTTGAAATAATTATTGTTGATTATAATAATTTGCATTTACAATTCCATTTTTAATAGCTCTTGAAGGTGACTTTTCATTCTAGGAGTCACTTCTAACATTTAAATCTTCTTATCCTATCATTAATCATCTGTATTATTTGATGCAATCTGTGTAAGGAAACAAATTTGATGTATCTGTATAAAGATATGGCACATTGTGCACTGCAAAGTAGCACCTGGTAACCGTCATTTGATGCCATTGAGAAAGAATAGGAAACTATATGGGTCCAAGGAAAATATAATGCCCAGTACAAATTCGATTCAGGATAATCTGGGAAAAGAAACTTAATATGTAAGTTTCATAACACATAAACAAGCACTTGGCTGGATGGGGCTATCAATAAAGTACAATGGATGACATCTCAAGGTGAACTTTGAAAGAAACCTGACCATATTTCAAAACAGGGTGTACACCCCTTATTTTTTAAAGGTTCCACTGGTCCTTAGCCTCATGACCTAAACTTTTTGAGGTTTTACTTTGATTCATTTCATTAGCAGTTGATCTACTCTCCCACCCTTTGAGATGTGCTCATTGCTAAAGAGTGAGGGCCAGATTCTAATAGCCTGGCTCACATGCACTGGAATTGCTCACAAAGTCTGGTAATACTCACTGGGCATAAAAGGATCAGAATCTAGCTCCTTAGCATCTGATCTCTTGACTGAGGTAGATCAGTATCTTACAGTGCAAGGAACCCACTGATCAGGGGTTGGCAACCTACAGCTACAGGGGCATGGAGCTGGGGTCTAGTACATTTGGTAGCAAGGAGCTTTACCCATGCTATGCTGCAGTTAGGCATAGGAAGAAACAGTAGTGGGGGTGGTAGTTGGGTCCTAGTGCTGGCCCATTCACACTCAAGGTGGGCCATTTCAGCCCACCACCAGAAAATGTTGCTGACTGCTGCCATTCACTTTAAATGGGCATGCAGTTTCTGGCACTGAGCTTATCTTACAAGAGGATTATTAGTAACCAATGGACTCACTCTCTATCTATGTGTAAGCCTATCCTAAACATTGCAAAGCTATGTGGAGATACCCAAACTAATTCTAAACAAAAAGGTAGAGTGGCAGCACAATGTTCTGCATGGGCTAATTTAACCTGCTAAGAAGCTTAGGTAAACTAATTTAGTTTGCTTGGGTCCTGATGACAGTGAAGAAGAGGTGGCAGGCTGAATAAATAAGTTGAGCTATAGCTCACATTGAAACTTGTGCTCTTGTGGCTTCATTGCTCTTAGTGCCTGAGGTACCTTGATTGAAACTGGCTTAGGTTTGTCCATATATGCTAAAAGGACACCTCCAAATACAGTGTGGACATAGTTATCGCTAATGATTATGAAACATTATCAAAATCAAAAGCAAGGAGAGGTTATTGTAATGCTCATGTGGTACAGAAGCAAATAGTGTTGAATATTACCATCACATGAACTGCAGGTAGGGTGGCATCTTTCACAGGTGTTCTTATCATGGTCCCCATAATAATATTCAGGGCAAGAGTGGAGACATTCATTCTTGGAATGAAGCAGGAAGAAATAGTCATCACAGGACAGACAGTCTGTGGGCTGAGGTCCCAAACACTCCTTACAGCTTATGTGGCATTTCTGGCACAAGCCAGTAGAGTTACTTCCATAATATCTGAAAGAAATGAAGTAGTGAAGGCTTTACAAATGCCGAGAGTGCTAAAAAAAGAAAAGAAAATACAAACAAAACCAGAGTTCTTTTGGGTCCGTTGCAAAAGTTTCATTCCTGATATCCTTATCTTTGCAAAAGTATAGTCCTCATAGATGTAGCAATGGGTTCCATTTAATGTATGTATGTGCCATTTGGCTTTGGGATTTTACCCTATAAAGCAAGACCTTCTGAACCACTGGGTCAAATTCAGGCACAAAGTCAGTAGAGACTACACTGAGCTGGTTCTCAGGAGATGTGTGATCTGGTTCTGCTACAGACTTCTAGTGAGATGTTGGACAAGTCACTCAGTTATGTAGTGTTTCTGCTGGCCAGCTGGTGATAACAGCACTCTCCTGCCTCCAAGGGTTTCTGTTAGGCTCAATTCTGAAAGTGAAGAAAGCAAAGGTGGAAGGAGGGAATGAAACATGGCTCCCTCTCTGTTCAAAGCAGGAGAGAACTCCTTTTCCTCTCTTTGACTTGAAAAAGCAGTGGTGCCTCTGTACCTTTGCTTCCTTGGCTAGTGATAATCCTGAATAAATCTGGAGCTAACTTGCTAAAATCCAGGTTCATCATTTTCTTTACTGTGTCACCTTCTGCCTGGGAATTCCCTTAGTATCCATATGAATGGCAGAAGTACTAATACTTTATTTTTACCCTTAGAGACCTGCTTGTGTTACTTATGGGAGAAAGCTAGTGTGAGTTATTATGTTTTGCCAAAGGGTGATTCACCAGTTCCATTATGTCTGTGTTCAGGCATGTGGGAAAGGAGTAGTGTGATCATAGCTGTAGATGGAATAGAAAGGTAATTGCCACTATGCAGTGTATAGTCATCACAGGTGTGCAGCTTAGCAAAGGATGTTGAATTGCAGGTGAATATACAGTAAATGAGAAGTGCAGGGAAGCTGGGTATTTTGATGAAGGAAGAACTCAGATGCTGAAATAGTCATGCATTGTCACAAAAGGAGATGTGCCTGAAACAAAAGTAGAAGTCCATACCCCAGTTCAGAACTCAGACCAGACTGATTTCAAACTCTGAGACTAAACAGGTTGGTGTTTAGGAAAGCTTCTTTCTAGATTTCTAATTCCAAGTTTTTGGCGTGTGTTATTGCAGAGGGTTTTTTCAGGGGGGAGGGTTGTTCATTTTTTTTGTTTAGGCCTACTGTAGATATAGGGGATACCGTGCTCAAGTCTGGTGAAATTTCTGTTTGAAAGACAAAAGTTGCCTTTTCCAAACTCTGGGTCTGGAAAGGTTGTTGCTGCAAGTTAGACTCTGTCTACACTGTACAATATAGTGTAAATCAGCCTGAGCAGAGCTCTGAACTAACAGGGCTATGCTGTTTTTGGTATGTGAAATAGCTCTTACATTGCTATATTTAGTTAGATTAGGCAAATTACCCATGACATTTTATGGGGTGATCTTATGTATGCCATCTCCAAAGGATGAGCGCTAGAAATCCTTAGAGCATATAGTATATTCAGCGTTGGTTCCTCGAAGTACTAGAAAGGTCTATCTAAAAATAGACTTGAAGGCTAGATACAAAGATCTCTCTCCAATGTGAAAGGTCCTGGAGGCTTACCCAACTGGGCAGGACTCTACACATCCATTTCCTTGTTTGTACCAGCCTGGTCTGCAGGAAAGACATTGTGTACTGTGTTTTCCATAGCAAGTCTGACAGGTACTGTGGCATGTGAAACATCGTCCTTCATCACTGTCAGCATAATATCCATCAGGACAAGCTTCAACACAGGTTGTATCTATAAAGGAAATAATGCAGAACAAAGCATCACATATGGTATTCTCTTCTGCTCACTAATGCTGCCTAACATAACTCAAGTCCGATTTTATAGAAGAGCTATGTTCAATTACCGTAATCATTTATATTTCTTTTCAATCTCAGCCCTACAGTTGTCTGTCTTCATTCTTCTGTGATTGTCTGTTTAGATTACAAGCTCTGCCTTGTCTATTTTAATTGCTGTAATATACCAAGTTTATTATACAGAAGAATAAATAATAACAAACAACATCTGTGATTTGTGTCAGTGCATAAAGAGGAAAAAAGAATAGTCAAGAAACTTTATCCCTCCATCTGCAGTACCATTTATGTTTACCTCTCTCTGATTCCAAATACCTAGTTCACTGCTGTATATTTGGTCAAAGCTTTAGGATTTATGGGAATCCTGAGTGTTAATTATATGTTTTCAAAGGGCCTTTACCACTAAGTATAATTTAACAGCTTGGCTGTTGCTTTGCTTGCTGGGAACACACACTTTTCTTTTGCCAAATGTACCAGGCATATCACAGTGTTTCACTGAGATGCTGGTGGATTATCAATAGCATATAATAGAAGCCTGGGACTGAATAATGTGCATCCAACTTCCCAAAGTTAGAGAAAAATGACTATTAAGTGATAGCAATAAGTTCACTTGTTTTGCCACTCAGGTAGTCATATCAGTTTTGCTACAGATACGTCAGGGGAATTATTTTTTACATTAATACTATCTCTTTGACATTTTTTTTGCTCCTTTTTATATGATAAATTGTGTGGATATCTCAAACTAATGTTCAAATGAGCAAAATAGTATTGTTCTTTAGCACTAGAGCCAGTCTTGAACCTTAGATTAAAACCTTCCCAAAACCTTAAGGTTCAAAATCTGAACTCATCTGGGATTCCTGATTCCATGTTCAAATTCAGCTCATGGCTGAGATGGGAAGTGAGGGCACTTTTACACATGCTCCATGGGTGGAGTGGGGGGTGGGGGCAGTACTTTAATTAAAGCAGCTCTGAGACCCGCTCACTTAAAGTACTGCCACATCTTCTGTATCAGCATCCCTGTGCCGATGGGCGCATTTGAACTAAAGCTTGTTCGATGAGCTTTAGTTCAAGTGCCCCACCACCATTTTCAAGCATGGGAACACTGATCCAAGAGATGCAGGAGGCTGCTGGAGTGTGGCAATTGCCAACTGATTAATCAAGCCTGCTCCAATGTGCTGGAATTCCAGTGTGTCAAAGCAGCCTCAGTGCTTGTGTACAGGTGCCCTGAGATCTGAGCCTGAATTGATTATTGGGATCTGAAGCTTTAGTCAGTGTTCATCTCTATTGCCATGTACTCATGATGTGCTGTAATGCAGTAGACAGGTAACTATAGGAGAAAGAAGAAATGTGTGATTAAAAGTGGGATTTTTCTGCAAAATATGTTTAATTATTTATTTTTGCCCTGAAGCTAATTTAGTGGGGAGGGAATCAGGATTTGGTCCTAGAAAAATGTCTCTAGTTCTCTACAATAGTTGTTTTCCAGTGGAAGGAATTTTGCTCTTGATTAAATTGATAAATATTCAATTTTGTTTTCTTTTTCTGAGAAAATATGCATGAAAGACTAAATCTTGGTGGCATTTCACACTTTGTACTCAGCTGTTTCTGGCACTTAGGAATCACTCCAGTACATGGCTGGAGAGTCCTGCTTGTGCATATAGGCCCATATTGCTTGTCAGATTTGGGATCAGGAGGGAACTTTCTTCCTGAGTCAGGTCAGAGTGACAAAGACTGTATAGAGTTTTTCTTCCTCTGTAGTTCAGAATGTAGTCACAGTCCTAGGATCATCTGAGCTAAGTTAACTCAACAAATTCCTTATCATTACAGTGGCAATGAACTGATAGTGCCCTTATCTCATCTATTTCTTCCCTATTTCCTCAACTACTTTTTACCTGTGATGTAGTACCGGGCTTTTCTCCACCTCTTAGTGTATTTTGTAACTGTAATATAAGAGAGGTCTCAGAGCATGTCTCTTTTTTTACTCTTTTGGATAAATGGTTGCCAGAGAACATAGGGGTCTGGATTCAATTAATCAAACCATTAAATTGAATGGATCAAACCACTGGATTTGGGGGTGGCAGGAGAGAAGCAAAGTATCCTGGGATGCTGGGGGACTGTGAGTTAACTTGAATCTGGAGGGGCTCTGGGACAGAAGTTCAATAAAGGGATATAACCTAAAGCAGTTAAGCCTGATACTACATCCATCCAGTAGTAAACTTACATCCATCTTAAACTGGTTTTGGATGTTTTGAAAGTGGCTTATATGCACTGAACTTTTGTTATGTTACAGATTTGAACTGGTTTCCGATCACTTATACCTGTTTGTGCGTAATTTTTTCCTGTAGCCAGGAAGGCCAATCTTTGCATTCATTGCTTCAAAGATGAGATGGCTTGAGTTAAGGCACTGAGTAAAATCCCTTTGGAGAGAAAGTATAGCTTTTCACTGTTCTGTAATCCATTAAAGACACAATGATCCAAGGACAACTTTTCAGCATCTGTTTTTAATTGTGTCTGCATAATTTGTGAGTGCATCTCTTTTGTGCATGAGAGCACAAAACATTGGAATGACACATTCCCAACACATTGGAATGACCCAGCATTTTAATATCCATGTAAACTTTATATGTACAAAATAAATGTGCTTGCAATAGTCTCTTGGTTCATTGAGGGGCCAACTACCTCAAGGAAGCCAACATGTATCATGGAGTGAGAATGTGCACACTGCAGTTGCTATGGAGTAGCAGACATGCTGTAAATCCCCACCTCTCTTTACCTCACAGCAACTTGCCCATAGCCATGAAGTCTAATATCACTGACATTTAATGAACAGAAGGGGTTTTTTTAGAGTAAGATGAACCATTTTCAACAGTGGTCTCCATATGTCACACACATCTTCTTGCAAAGATAAGATGAAATCAAGCCTGGATGCTGGAGCAAGATACTCACTGAGAAGATGTTGATTTTTTGAGCAGCTGAGACACAGGTCTTCAGCAGGGCCTATACAGCGAAAGCATTTCTCATGGCAAGGTTTGCAGGTGTGAGTCTTTTGATCCTGGTACTCAGTAAGAGAGCAGAACGTAGATGCCATGCAGTAACCCTGCCTGTTCATCACCAAGCCCTCCCTACAGGTCAAGCAATCAGTAGAAGAGGAGCAGGTCTGGCAGGTCCTGTTGCACTCTGAAATACACAAACATGGGTATTTTACCACTTCTTTTCCATTTTGGATTTTCTGAAACAGACTTAATTTTTCAAGTTGCCGTCAGAGTCCTAGAGGCATATTCTGAAGTAGGAATACAGGAGAAAAGTGTGTGTGTGTGTGTGTGTGTGTGTGCGCACACATGTGCATATGCTTGTTTCAATATTACTTTCTATCTTCTTTTTACAGCCAACACCATTTGGTTTTTTTTCCCTTTAACAACCATAGCGTCTTTGAACAGAGATTTTTTCCTGAATATTTGCAAATAATTCAGAACACAATATATATTATTGTTCTAATTATTATTATTCCATTATTCATTACTTTATACTCATCAGTAATATGTTTCATTTTCAGTCATGTTGTCCATTCATTTCGTTCTGTTAACTCACTCTGGACTTCCTTATAATCTTTTTTTTTTGTCTTGTCTAAATCATGTTATGTCTTTGCCAAATTTTGCTGTCTTCCAATCATCAATAAATACATTTCACTGTACCTAAAAATCACTTTTGTTACTATTCAACCAGTCTCCATATTCCTTTGAAAAAAAGTACCTTGACAATCTTCGGTTTCTTCTTCATAGTAAGTCCCATCCGGACATTCTTTAAAACATCCACCACTATACTGAACAAAGGAACTGATTGCACACTCAGTACAGTCATCAGAATCAGGCCCGTCACATTCTTTGCAGTCCTCATTGCAGGAAAAGCACCTGTTAGATTCAGCATAAAAGCCAGAGGGGCAGTCCTGCAGACACCTCCCATTGTGCAGGAAAAACTGGTCTATGCACGCTACAGAAAACAAAAAGGAAATGGATAAATAAAAGAGAAACTTATTTTCTTCTACTGATTAAAGCAACAAAACTTGCATACAACACCTGCTGTATTACATCTGGTGATGGACAAACTGACTCAGAAAAAATAAGACTACCCCTGAATACATGGTGAAATATAGGCTGCACCCCAACTGAGACTTTACCTAGAGAAACTTCTACTCAATAATGCCAAATTACATCTGGATTCTAAACTTCTTAAAAGTCAGGAAGAGCCAAATCTGAAATTCTGTTTAGTTCATGATTAAAATCTGTCTGGAATACTTAGATGCAGTTCTGAAGTTCCCTGGAGCCTGGTGGATGGCATTAGGATGTGGGATAATGGGTTCAGCTCTGTTTTATTATTGAGTTTGTTTAAATGGCTTTTGTTCATTATCTTGTATTTCCATTACTCTTATATTTCCAAACTGTTTGGTATTATCTTGACCTTCAGACAAATATTCACATATTTGGGTGTGTAGCCATATTGAACAGACTCCACAAGCCTTTTGTGATTAATTTCCTACTAATTATATTAATACTCAAAGGACCTGATTCTCCCCTATTCACCTTGGCTACATCTACACATGTGCTTTAATGTGCAGTAAACTATTTTACTGTGCATTAATGTGTCGCATAAAAAATGACATTAGTGTAATCACTAATGTGCAGTAAAAGTCTACTACACATTGGGTGTTACTAAAAAAGCATGCAAATAGTGCAGCATAATGTACATAAATTTAGTGCCTCACATTGGAGGTACTAAATTTAATGAGCATTGAGAAGATTAATACACATGTAGACGTGCCCCTTGTGTAGTCATTTGCTCCCAAGTGGTAGCATTTTACATTCACCTTGCCCAGATGTAAATGTCTACAGTGGAAAATCAGAAACACGCTAAATTAAGAATGGAATGAAATCTGGGAGTAAGAATGGAATAGAAACAGGAACAGTGGACAAGTATCTTGCCTATATCTAGCAGGGTAAAATTCCTATCTCATGGTAAAGTGGATAGTAGCACCATCTCAACTGCTCAACAGTGATACTGAAGTCACTCTTCCCATTCTTGTTAACTATAAAGGAATCATTGCTTTGAGCAAATCTTTGTTTGACAGCCTATGTGTTCACAAAAACCTTGGATGAGGAAATAAATGCTATTTGTCATTCCTGGTCGTACCTTTGCAGGTATGTTCATGAATGCATTCCTGACACATCTCAGGGCAGTGTTTACAGGTCCCATCAGTGGCAAAGTGCTTCTCAGAACAGGAAGGTTTACATTCCCAGTGCTCCAAGAGCAAGGGATTCTCACAAGACAAACATTTTGTAGCATTCCCCATGCATGCCTTGCAGGGTTTGCTGCACTTGTTGCAAGTATCAGCTTCAGCAAAATGCCCCCTAGAGAGTCAGGAAAAAGAAAGGATATTGTAGGACAGATGATATTTCTGGGACAGAAATGGCAGGGATAAAAATGCATTTTTAAGAGCTTCATAATAGATACGTTTCACATAGAGCTGAATTATACCATATTTTAAATACAAAACAACATATCTTGTCCCCGAGCTCACATCCCACCTCCTTCTAGAATCACTGAAGTTGCCTGCATCTAGATGGGCTGCATGATATTAGAGGGGTGTTCTTTCTTCTGTGCATCAAGTTGTACCACAGCCCTGCTCCTCACTCCTGGCCTCTGCCAGGTAAGAGAGGCATGGAGTAAGGGAGAAGAAATCCACTGTCTATAAGACTTCCTTATCTGACATTCAGCATTGACAGTCAGGAGGAGAACATGAGATATTGCTCTGAGAGCAATAAGAGGAGGAAAACAAAGATACAGTCTTTAGTAGCAGAAGGGACAGGAAACAGGGAGGAAGAAACTTTGTCCTAGCATTAGGACGAGTGGGAAGGAGGAAGAGAAAAGTGAGACTTTCCTCATCCCAACCCAATGCCAGGAAAGGTGACAGGTTCCAGCAGTTGGGAAAGTCACCACAGTAAAACTCAACAGAGATGCCAGGGTGCAAGGGAGGAAGACAAAGACAGGGATAGAAAAGAGTTGCTCCCCTCGACAAAAAGTGTCATTCAAGGACCTTGGCAGCGCTACCACATTTTCCATTTGTACAAGGTGCCATGCTCATCTGTGATATACAAGATGTGAGCAACAGAAGACAAGTTCTTTTGTCAGGCACCTATTACGCTCTAACCAGACTCCTCTATATTTTACAATGGTGATTCCAACATGTTCTTCCTGATGGAGCTTCTTACTGTCCTGAGCTGTGAAAATTGAACAGCTTTAAGGGATTTACCATAGACTACTGTGGACAAGCATAGTCTTTCAGTGTTTGGGAGTATTAGCTCTCAAAGAAAGGTTAGCTAGGCTTGGCATACACATCATAGGCAAAGGGGGAAGAAAGAGTGGTCTGAAAGCACGTTTAATTAATTCTGGGTAAGCTCTTGAAAAAGAAAGGTACAGAGATCTCAGCAAGTTGTTTGAAATAAATGACAATTAAAAAATGTGTAGTCACTGGATGAAATTAAAGAAAGGACTGAACTAGCATCTGAAGCAGTGCCAGCAGCATGTCTTTTCACACTAATATCTGCTCACAAGCAGATTACCAGAGTGGTGCCCTCTAATTCACAACTGGCATTTTGTGGGTAGGGCTCTCCATAGAAAGCCTGAGGAGAAGAATTAGGATGAAAGACTGGTGGAAAGCTGAGAAAAGAGAAGAAGAAATACCTCCTCCATCTTGCCTGCTCCCATATTCTTTTTTCTTTATTTCTTATCCTCTTTCACCACCCAACACCTTCCTTCTCCTCTCACTAGCTCATCTTGCTTTGGTGATTCAGTCTTTCTAAGGACATGACTACACTGAATGATGCAGTGTAGTGCAGACAAGTCCCAAGATAATGTTAAACAACAAAACTAAGACTCAGGGTAATTCAGCCAGCACATAGTTGTGTGGTGATTACAGTTGGACCTCTTCTTGTAATGAAGCTAGCATCAATACAGTATGCTGCAGTATGTATTGTAGCCATATCCTAAAAGCTCCTAGTTATTGTGTCAGAGGTGAGGCTGATGCAATGTAAAAGATCATCTTCTTCTTTGACAGTCCCTCAAGGATTATTGTCTTCCATGACTGTTTTCATGGAAGACGCCTGTGCGTGACTTCTTTTATCATGGAGAAGCTGCTGCACATCAGCTTCCATGTGGCTCCTGGCAGAATGAACCCTTAATCCAATGGCAAGGAGACCAAGACAACTGGGGATCTTATTCTGCTGCAGCATTCATCCACCTTTACAGCCATTGAGATTCTAACATCTTCTTCCACCTGCTCCACCATTGAGGACTTGTAGACCCATGACTGGGGGCTGGGCAGGCTTACTATAGTGGTACTCACCATGTCAAAGAATATATGTGGCTTTTCAGGAGGGAAACCATTGCTATTTGCTGTTCTCACCACATCCTGGTGGTGTTGCCACTGCTTGGTCCCCAACTGCTTATTTATCAGCGTTATCCCTGCTTATTTCACAGATACCATATTTCACTGAGAGGAGAGACTGAGGAACCTGGATCTCTTCGGCCTCCACAAGAGAAGGCCGAGAGGTGATTTTGTGACCGCCTACAAATTCCTTAATGGGACACAGCAAGGGATTGGAGATGCTCTGTTCACCAGGGCTTCCCTTGGGGTAACAAGGAACAATGGTCACAAACTGACAGAGAGCAGATTTAGGCTAGATACCAGGAAAAACTTCACTGTGAGGGTGGCCAAAATTTGGAATGGGTTTCCAAGGGAGGTGGTGCTCTCCCTTACCTTGGGGGTCTTTAAGAGAAGGATGGACAGGCATCTGGCTGGGGTCTTCTGACCCCAGCACACTTTCTTGTCTAGTCAGGGTGTAGGACTCAATGATTTATTGAGGATTCTGACCCTAACATCTATGAATCTATCAATTTCATGGTGTACAAGTCAAGTTTTGAAACCCAATTTTTAACTCTTAAAATTCAACCTCAACTTATACACCATATCAAGGCCTGCAGACCTTGCCGTCACTATGGAGATGCCGCTCAGCTGGGCACTGAGCTCGGCTGGGTGCTGAGTTCAGCCAGGTGCCGGGCTCGGTGCTCGGCTGGTGAGGCCCCATCCCCTGCCAGTGCGTTATGGAGATGCCACTCAGCAGGGCACTGAGCCCGGTCCTGTCTCCTGTGAGCAGCACTGACTGGACTGTGCCAGGTGAGTACCGTGCCCGGCCCCATCCCCTGTGAGTGGCACTGGGCTTGGCTAGGTTGGCACGGCCCAGGCAGAGCCACTCACAGGGGGTGGAGCTGGGCTCAGCACCTGGCTGAACGGCATTTCCATAGGGCACTCACAGGACATGGGGCTGCGCCAGCTGAGCACTGAGCTTAGTGCTGCTCACAGGGGATGGGCACTCGCAGGGGATGGGCTCAGCACTTGCCTGGTGCTGCCCAGGCAGCACTGCTCACAAGGCATGAGGGTGGGCTTGGTCCTTGGCTGGCACGGCCCAGGCAGCACCACTCACAGGGGATGGAACTGGGCTCAGCGCTTAGCTGGTGCAGCCCCATCCTCTGCAGAGTGGGGCTGCCTGGACTGCACCAGCTAAGCACCAAGTCCAGCCCCATCCCCTGCAAGCGGTGCAGTGGCATGTGTCCACTGCTTAGGGGCCCAGCCTGCAGTGAGGGTTTGCAGGGGCCAATATAAGTCTACTAAGGCAAGAAAACCCTCCATACTAGCCTTGGATCTGAAGTGAAGTATCTGTTTAGTGTAGTTTCTTCATATTTATTCTGCTCTATAAAATCAGAATCTATTCTATTGGCCCTCTCTTGTCTAGTGAGCAAGGGACACAGCGAGCAGTTGTGGAAATAATGGCAGGAAAATCAATGTAAAGAATCCTTCAAGAATTGTAAGAAAAAATAATACGAAGAATTCATGTATATCACAGCAGAAGAGAGAGCTGAACACATTTTACTAGGAGGAAGAAATCAAGTGGCAGCCATTAACGGCTTGATCGAAGTGATAGATGGTGATAAGCAGGATAGAGAGTGCAGAGGAACCTGATCTATTTTAGGGTCAGATCCATGGGGGCCTTCATTTCTGAACAGGAGAAAAACCAAATGGAATGCATTATTAATCATCTCATTTGCATGCTCAGGATGGTTAAGTCCATTAATCCCTCAGTCACTCCATTCTGTGCCCACTGCTCATATTACATTGTGGTGTCAGTGTGATTTTTGCCATTGACTCTGGGACTTCACACACAGCTCTTATTTTTCTTGCACTCACGTGCAACTTCTATTATGAGCAATGGAAATTATGTTATCCAGCTGAAACATGAATCAAATGTAAGCATACTGTAATTTTGGATGGTCAAGATACTACATTAATCTTTCCTTAGAGGGGCTTTAACCATGGAAATGAGCTAGACATTTATAACAATACCTGAATATTGATGTGGACAAACAAGTTAAAGAATGAATAAAAAATTACTTACTCTGGGCATTCCTGAAGGCATCTGCCTTCATGCAGGTAGAACAGCTGATCTGGGACAGAGTGGCACTTTAGGCAGTACCTAGGTTCAGAGCAGTTTTCACAGTTGTCTGTGCAATTCTCACATTTCCCATTTCTTAGGTTGGCAAAAGTTCCTTGTGGGCATTGCTTGACACACGTTTCAAAGGAAAGAAATGTCCCTACACAGCAGACCCAATCAAGGAAAAGGAATAGGTGAGAAGTTTAAACAAAACATTTCTGGAGCTTTTCTTGTGCTGGCAACACATACTGATGGGGTTCTTTTTCTTAAACTGGATACCTTAGCTTAGTAGACCGTACAAGTCCAAAGTTCAGCTTTATTTTTTTTAACTGCAACATTCTTTTAAGCTCTTTCCTGAAGAAGTCTGTTCAGCTCTCACTCATAGTCACTTATCTCACTTCCAGAATAGATAGGCCATAGGATTTTACCCAGCAATTCCTGCATCAAGCCAGTAACTTCTAGTTGAGTGAACAAGGAATCAACAAGATGCCTTAAGACATAGGTTAATATCAATTGCTTATAATGATGTGTGCTTTATTCCTAGCCTGAATATATCTAGTTTCAGTCAGCAGATAGCACATCTTCTTCTGATTTCCCAGATTTACCTGAATCTAAGATAACTCTGAATTTAAGATGACCCCAGTAATTAGATTCTATACATAGGAACTTTATAAATGTGTTATAATTTTCCATGTATAGAATCTAAATATTGGAGGGTTCTCTTTAAGTCATCCCTCCCACTGCTGTAGAGGCTCAGGCCATGGTGGGGTTGATACAGGGAGGTCAAGCAGGTTGTGCTTGTGGCTACTCCCTGCCACCTTGGCTCCCTGCCTGCCTCCCACCCCACAGCCTTGGACCCCCATTTCCCCTCTGCCTCTGCTTCTCCTCCTGCCTCTCACCCTCCAGCCTCTGCTCCCACCTCCCTTCCAACTTCTGCACCCCACTTTCTCCCCTGTCTTACCCTTGCTCAATCTGTATTGTAGCCTGGGTCACTGAGTATGGCTCCAGCCCAGCCCCCATAGCAGCTTTGAGGGCTGTGCACTGCTGCTTTGGGGTTGGGCTGGAGCTTAATGCCCCAGGATACAGTGTGGATGGAGCCTGCAGGTGTAGAACAAGGGTAAAGTGAGGAGGGAAAGGGGCAGGCAGAGGCTGCATGGTGGGGAGAGGGTGAAAAGAGGCTGCAGGGAGGAGATGGCAGGGTGTAGTGGTGGTGGGAAGGGACAGGCAGCAGCTATGGCTATGGACCAAACCCCAGGTAGGGGCTTTTGCCCAAGCCAAAGCAGTAACCTCTTCCTTCGCACCCTCCCCCCCTAAATAATTTTAAGACAAGGGGCTTTTCTGTCCCATGTTAAATCAGGGTGGGAAACCTCATCTTAGAACTGAGTAAATATGTTAATATGCTACATGAGTGAAGAAACTTCTACCCTTCATTACCCCATATATCCTTTGGCAATATATAGTATATGAAACATATACAGAAATGTAGCTTACTATATTACAAATTCACCCAAAGAAGCTAGATGCCACTTACCTTTGGGACAGGAAGTGCACATATTGGCAGCTGTACTGCAGGTCTTACATGAAGAATCACAGGGCCGGTTCTGTCCCAGTATGTCTGTATAGGGAAGAAAAACTACTTCTGCTTATTTTGTACAGTCTTACTGAAGAACAACACCTTTAGGAAGGCAAACAGGCAATCTTTGATTTTTTCTACTTTTTCTGTTTAGGTTTACTCAGGGATATTTAAAAAAAAACATAATTATTGGCACAGCTACTTATAGAATCCTCAGAATGAAACAAGGAGAAAAACGGCAATTCAGTTCAACTCCGCAAGTGAAAAGTTGAGTAAAAAGGTAGTGTAATAAAATAAAACACACAAGTTATCATCGGATAACTGGACTGTTTGGTGCTGAAGACATGTGAGTTTATTGTTGGTAATTTTAGGTAAGTGATATAGAATAGAAGATTACTGTATATAGATTATGGATATGTGGATACATTCTTACTAGAGGGAAAGTAAGGTTAGTGGATTGCTGCTGAATACAGAATTCTTACTATTGTTTTGTTATGTTGTATTAAGGGGAATGACTTATAAATATGAAGGGAGAAAGTGACTGCCTAGAACGAGAGTCCTTAAAATACATTTATTTTTATATCCATCACCACCTATTCCCCTTCCTCAGCAGGA